ATAAGTACTATATCTTTATTCTAGCAGGATGTTAGAACTTAATCCAAGACAGAGCTTCTCTATAGATTATTAAAGACGAGACGTTATACTATGTATTCCCATAATAAAATATTCAATATTTGCTGTTTTATAAAATTTTAAATGTCGGGCCACGAACTTTTGGTATACCCTAAGTATATTTGCCATTTAATTGATCTTGATGAGTGGTGAAAAAGTATATTTTGGCTTGACTTTTCGATCATCTCTTGCTGGATTATGCGCCTTCCACTCGGCTTCAGAGTTATGAGCAAGGGGGAAACATGATATTTTTGTACTTTAAAGTACCATGAAGTATCTTAAAGTACGTTAAAGTATCTTAAAGTATGTTAAAGTATTTTAAAGTACCTTTAAGTACTTTTAAGTAGCTTTAAGTATCTTATAGTACAAGGAAGTATTATAGTGAAGAGAACGACAAAGCTCAGATCTACATGGTGTTGAATGAAATGCGCCCTGCAATATATTATATCATAATCAGGTATCTGAAATAAGAAACAAGTTCTCTGAAGTGGGAAACACAATAAAGATTTATTCTGATGAACAGTTTTTGAAAAAGTGATACAAAAATACAAAATATTGATGTGTCACATATTATTGTCACTTGTTTGTATAACACGAAATAAACGATCAGTAAATATATATGCATTTTCGTCTGTTAACAACCAGCATGCCGATTGTTTATGTAGATATTTTGTTTTATTATTAATTTTAATTTTGAAATAAGACTTGAGATCTTCCGAGTCAATATTGTCTCGGATGTTTATACCTTGAAAATCTGTTCTAGTGGATGTCATATTTGGTTCATCATCATCAATATCTATCAATTCATGAAGCATCGGATCAGCAACATCACTGCTATCATCGTCATCTTCATCATCATCTACAGAATAATCATAATCGTCACCATCACTCTCGTCCATTTCCCAATTAAAATCATGAATGTTGTTAAAGTCATTTGGTGTTAGTGTTGTATCATCAAACAATCTTGATTTATCTTTTAAATTGCTATATACGTATTGACTTAGCATGTCCATTTCAAGAATATTGTGCTTTTTTAGTACTGGAATAATGTTTAATGGCTTAACGAGTGCAATGGCCATATCATAGGCATTAGTAATAACTTTTTCGATTTCTAGATCAAATACTTCGTTTAATTTTTGCTCCAAAATCAAATCATCATCTTGTTTATGTTTATGATGTATCGGAAATCGTAACTTTATTTGATTATGGTTATTATTACGCTCATGCTTGATCTGGTTTAAAATAGACAATTTTTGAGAGCGATGAAGAAAATCACTGACACTAAAATTCACAATCGTTGAAAAAGCTCCACTAAGAGCTCGTGCATTACAGAACATGGATTCACAAGATTGGGAATTAAACAAGTAAATATTCAATGCTTCTTCGGGCAATTGTTTTTCTTTGACAAGTTCTATCATATACAATAACATATGTGCATTGATTTCTACAGATATGTAACACGTTTTTGTTATAAAATATTTTTGTTTTGTGTCTCTAGGTGCGTTTGTTGTCGTTTTAGGTTCATGTAGCAAATTCGTATGCTGCAACCATGCTCAACAGAGGCGGCAGACGAACACTGTACACCATGCCATTTTTAATCCTATATGAACAAATGAGAAGGTAAAATAGTTTCTCCAGCTATTCCTCAACCAATCTCTAATCCGTGTAGAAACTAATCAAAACCCTATGAGTTGTCACATGGCCTGAAATAACCAGATATTAGTATGTCATAGTACTCTTGAAAAATATTGTTTCATCTATTATTCGTTTCAATGAAATTCCTGAATGCTTATATGACGAAAATTAGCCTCTTTAAAAAGTGTTTTCTTTGTCAGCGACTTTTAAATTAGTCCAAACCCTTTGAAATTGGAAACTGAAACACTTTTAAACTATTATAAATCTATATAAACGAACTGAAATGCCTGAGAGTATTTTTATAACTCTGTTAATTAAGTCATTTTAGGCGAACATTGAAATTAATCTATCACTTTTGCTTCCTCAACTTTATTTTGTTGCTTAAGATAAAGTCGAAAACTTCTACAATTGCTATGCTGGATATTACTAATCGATTAAATATTTTATTGCAGAATGTCACAGCTGTGTGTCAAAATACTTATTAGCGACACATCTATATTATTGCAAGTTAGTCTATGCGCTCAAAAGTACATATAAGAAATATATTAGCACTTTCTTCATTTGAAAATAGTTTTTATGATATTCACTCACGTTCGGTTATAGGTGTTGATTTTTCGATATACGATTTGATTATCATCTTTAACATTTCAAGATAAACATGAGTACCTAAACTGTTTGAATCATCGATTAGAAATATGTAAAAGGCATTTTGAAGTCAATTTAACACAAGACCTATAATTTTGTCTATCCTTTGGATTCAGATCAGATCTGGTTAAGCTGTGATCGAGCTTCGTGTATTTATTATTTTTAACAATATTTTGCAAGTGATTCATACTAATTATTTTGTTACCGATGTGTAAATCTGCTGTTCTCGATAGCAATCGGTTTCTCCATTTCGTCACGAGATGTGTTGGGTCTTGTAGAAAAAGAAAGAGCTATTCTTTGCGAAGATAAAACCATGTCCAGTTATTTACTTTCTATATGCAGAATACCTCTGAGTGTTCATATGACCGAAATTTCGATAAAGTAGCGAAAAATCCACACATCAACCGCATAGCTCGCATATATTTATTGTCCCCATCTATAAAATAACAAATTTTCTTCATGTATATGATGATAAGAGCAAAATACAAGAATAAATCTACCTGTAGAGAAACCTATAATCCTTATTTGAGTTTTTAAACAACATTCAAAAATATGCACCCATCTATATATAATATCCATAGCTAATGCGGTACCATCAACACCGAAGGCGTTCATCAAAAATGAAGAAGCTGGAGTTGAACTACTAGGTGAAGGTAATGATTGAAACATGAAAATATTCAGTAAGTTTGGTTTTTGTACATTAGCAAACCACGTTTTCAATTGTTCATAAGAATCAGTTTTATAATATTCAGAAATTGGAATTCCATTAGAAAATTTTGTTACAAATCCAACAAAAGAGTTAGTGGTTACATCATATTTAACTTTCTTTATAACATCTGTACAATCTTCAGAACAAAATCCATATTTAGTATTTACTGAATCTGTATATTGTTTTAAGGCAATAAATCGAAATCGACCCTCGACTATCATACTATCAGTATTAGACATTAATGTACTAAGTGTTGTCAGACTTTGTAAAGCGCCAGCAATATTCATTCTAACAAATTGATATGCTAACTTGCGACCTAAAGTATATAACAATATAGAAAATTTTTTTATGAAATCATTGTAACGTTGGCCTTGCTCAGATTTAATTATATTATTTGTTATAGTATCGATAAATGAAGATGTAAACAAACTATTATTGATACTTTGATCACTGTTGACATTATTCACATTACTATGATTTATGTTAATTGTATTCTGACTAATATTATAATGAAAATTATTGTTATTATGATTGTTAACAGAAACATTACTCTTATTGAGCAAATGTTCATTTTGTAAATACCATGCAATCAAAGATCGCAACAGTGGATTTTTATTGATAACATCTTTTATTGCTTCTTCCTGGTAACTAATTGTAGCAGAACATTGCTCTTCTAATTTTCTTTTTAATAATTCTCTCAAATAATTCATACTATTTTGAATTCCAGCTCGAACAACACAATCTCCATTTTTTAATTTAAAACACGACTGATGCTTTATTTTATCAATTTCTTCAGGATCATATTTAAATATTTCAAATATATCGTCCGTATTTAAAAACTTCTGTGCAGAATCGATCATTTGGATTTTAATAATGTCCCGTACAATGTCGCCAGCTAACGATTGAACAAAACAAAAAAGTCTTCACCTTTAAGCTGAAATATATTGTCGGGTAAATTAGACATGTTGAAATCTTTTTCTAACTCGCTCATATTTGAATAATCTAAAGCAGATGCCAAAGTACATAAAAAAACAAATGAACCTTCATATATAGGTAGAACAAACATAGAACAGTTGTCGATACATCCAAAACTTCACCTACTTCGTTCATACATTTCTTTATAGGAATCTCTAATATTAATTATGAACAAAGAGATCGACAATGAATGATTGTGTTTTTGCTAAGTTTAATATAAATGAAATGACGAAACATGATCAACACGAACATTTCATAGAAATGAATCGTGAACCTGTTTTGTGAACAATTATTATAGCACTCCTTCGTACTCAATAAAGAGAAAATTCGTTTCTTATCAATTTAATCGACGACTTAGATAAAGTTAAAAGTATCTATTTTGCCACCATTTCAATCAATTTTACGTGACAAATCAATGATGTTTATGAATCAATGTATTTGAAGTCCGAAGAGAGTAAAAGTGTATATAAGAAGTTGATGCTAATCTTTTTATCATCTCCTACCTCATCTTCAAAATTCCCTTCCTGAAATTGATGCATGGTGATTTATTCTTTAAGAATGAGGGATCCGCATGAGATGAGTGATTGCAGGAACATTGTCCAAGTTACTACGTCTGATTATCATAATGTATACGTGTGCAGAAGCGATTCCAGATGTGTCAACGACATTGACTTTCTTAATGAGAGTTTTACGAAGTTTCACTGTCTAGTTTTAAAATTTTCTACCATGGCAAAAATACAAATCTTGTCCTTTGCTTGAGAGGTGGTCTTACACATTGTCAAAAAAATCTGGTTCGTAAATGCATTATATTTTATGAAACTTCATTGCGCATTGTTACAGTAGCTTACTACTTTCACTTGAAACAAGCTTAACATTTTTTTCATATCCAATCAGAAAATACAGAATAAACGTGATTGGAGAAAGTCAATACTCTCTATTGATTGCTATCCAAAAGCAAAGCTATTTTAAAACTGAATTCTTTTTTTTTATAATAAAACTAATAGTATGTCATTTAGAAAAGTTTTAGAACAGCCAATTTTATGAGGAAGGGTTCCATAGATATTGGATATCGGCATGAAAAAACTCCAATATTCGTCGAATTTTAACAATAATTTCTAATTAAATGAAATAAAGGTTGTGGCACTATGTAAAATAGAAAAACCTTCTTGATGTTCGATCGAGGAGCGATAAGGTATTTCAATTCTATATCTTGTTAAATATTTGGAAGTGCCATACAACTTTAACACTTTGAAAGAAAAGAAAGAATCATAAGGAAAATAATGCATGCTGATATCTTTGAAATATTTTCCAAAGTTGCATTGTCTTTCAATTCAAAAAATGAAATCTTTCTATCTCCAACAAATACAAGTTGATATTTTAGATACTCTTTCCCGTCTATTTTTTAATACATACAGAAAAATAAAAACGTGGATTTAACTTGAAATATATTTCATTGAAGGTTGATTAGACAATAAAGCAGATCATCTATTGTAATCTTCTGTGTCTATTTTTACTTCTTGTTTATGAACCTAATCGTTCTTACAACTGAAAAATCAGTTAACTCAGTGATAAATTGAAGGAAATGAGTCCATTACTGTATTTTCGTTCAAATTGTATGATGAGGAAAGATATGATTGAAATTCAGCAGAATAATTTATTATTCAATCAAAATTATAACTATGATTTCCATGCCTTTCTTCATTTTATTCACTGAGAATTACTCAATAAAATTTAAATACCTATTCCATTCAGCGAAATCAGTTCTACGTTTTGCTCTTTTTGATTATTTCATTTATGTTTCAATTTCTATTGTGACCTATTTGTGATTATGTTGTTTACGAATTTTTTTATTCATGGTGATCTTGAAACAAATGAAATTTTATCAAACACTGATGAAAGATTTTATAAATTTATTCAAACTTCTCTTGGCTCTATACATGCTCGTATATTACAATGTCAACATATTAATAGTGTACCATGTTTTATTTTAGCAGAAGATCCATGTAATATCTTACTTTTGGATATGGATGATCCAGAACTAGAACAATTAACAAAAGAAGTGTGTTTTCGATCAAAGAACAACCAATTGATCGTTCGAACTGGTATTTCCAACAGCTTCAAATGCTTTAGGGAAACATTAATAAAAAAAACTGAAGAGTATTTGAAGTTGCTCAATTCAAAAAAGACAAAAAGATCAAAAATGAATATTACCATCGATTCTGGTTCGACACAATCACTTACACCATTACAAGGTGATGATCTACAAGGAAGTATTAATTGTACCTGTGGAACTCGAATAAATTTAGGAAAAAATGGTTTCAAATTCCAATTGTCGAATTTTTATAAGCACTTAAAAGATTCAAAGTGTACCAATATAAATGAAATAAAGAAGAAAAATGAAGAAAGGTCACAACCACGGCAAACAATATCATTAAACCAAATTTTAACAACATCTACATCTGTAAGTGCGTCAGCTTCAACAGATTCTTCTATAAATCGGACTTCAACATCATCTAGTAATGCAAATAACAAACGTGAACAACAATACGAAAGCTTCCAAAAACTGAAAAAACACAAAAAAAATCTTCATGTTTAGAATCTGTTTTCAACAAATAGATGTTTTTATAGACATATGAAATACTTTGTAATAAACTATCTACAGTTTACTTTACTTTTAATAGTGCTACCAGATTTTTATAGAACGATTGTATATTTTATAGACAGTTATTTAACGAATAAAATAATTTATTGAATAATACAACACACATTTCTTGAAGTTCCAAAGGACTACGTTACAGGCTGCGATTGTAAGAAATATATCATAATCCACGATTATATGGCCTTTGTTTCGTTAATATAAGTTGACTCCCCAGCAGGAATTGTGCATTGAAGACCATAAAAATAGAAAGTAGTGGGATGAACCCGTGCGAAATTCGTTAAGGTATCTTAAAGTATTTAGAAACACTTCAAGATACTTTAAAGCACATTTCAAGTATTCAAAACTGCCCTGAAATACATGAAATATTTCAAAGTACTCTAAAGTATCTTAAAGTATGTGAAGTGCAGCAAAGTATGGTAAAGTACGATAAAGTATCGTAAAGAACGGTAAAGTATTGGTAAAGTATGGGAAAGTACGGGAAAGTACCATGAAATAGGGTAAAGTACGTGAAGTATGAAGTATCATGTTTTCTCCTTGGGTATCCGTTACTTGATAACTATTTTTGTAAGGACAACTGCTCTGTTATAGCTTTGTTATACTAGGAATGCTTCGTTCTTGTATAAAGATTGTATTTTCGATCAACGATTCTCAACAATAGAAAATACAAAATTGAAAACTACTACGCAGGATTTTCCTATTGTTGTAGGGCCGCATGTGAAGCTTGAATAGTACACTATATATTATTTTTGCTGATTATATAGTTTCTATTGGATAAGTATAATTTCAATATAAGGAGAAAGTTTAACTTGAAAAGAAGCAAAAGTAAAAGAATGTGAATTAAATTACCTTAAATTACATAACCAATGTTAAAGTACGGTGAAGTACCTTAAAGTATGGTAAAGTACGTGAAGTATGAAGTATCATATTTCCCCCTTGATTAAGAGCACAGGTTCACTGAGAACTTGATTGATCGAGCTTTGATCTTAAATTTTGTCTATAGATAAATCTTATAATAAATAGGAAATGCTCAAAACTTTAGCTAGAACAGATGGATTCTTATTGGGATATCATCGTTTCAAAGAAACGATTGTTTTGATCTAATTTGCAAAACAAGCACATTTTAACGACAAGCTGCTATCTCGATAAAGATGTATTTGTTTTAAATTAAACTTTGTGGAGTCTCTAATTACTATAAGACCTATCTATGAACTAAATCTCAGCTCAAAATTCGATCATTCAAGTCCTCAGGAGTCCTATGTCCATACTCCTGAAATTGAGTAAAATGCGCATAATTGGACTAGAAAAGATCAGAAAATCGAACCAAACAATTTTTTTTCTATTGCACACCAAGGTCAATCGAATAACAATAGTTCCAAGCAAAAAATGATTTGACAGTTGAAGACCTTTCCTCGTAAGATATAACCTAGAGTAAACTTCAAAAAGGTTCAAAAAGTCGAAACGAAATTGAAACCATTTAGAAGTTTCGTACAATACTGTTTCTTTTAGCTATCGAAAAAGGTTTTGGGATATCGTCATCGTCATTATATAATATGTCAAAACTACAAATAGAGATGAACTTATCTCCTCGTCGAAGAAGCGTACATCACTAGAGCATTCTAATTGATGCTACAGAAGTTTTCGATATTTGATAGTTTTTCCAAATTAGATGCATCGTGAAAGTTCGGTTGTGATATTACAATATAGACAATTTCATTAAAAATTTATCGATATGTTCCTTTTCGGATGAGCATTTGTTTTTTGCTTTGTAGTTTGAAAATAATTGAGTGTCACAAAATCTTCAACTACTCATCAATTAACTGAAATAAACTGTTGCATGTACTTTTTTGTGTAGTAACTTTTTCAACGCTCATTTAATACGCCATGAAAAGAACAGAAGTATCCGCGTTTTTTTACGCTTACGAGGGAACATTCTTATGTGCACATTCGCTTTTGAGTCGAGACTATGTGCATCTTTTAGATCTTGATGAGTTATGACTATGATAAAAAAAAGTTCGTGCTCATAGCCAGTTTCTGAATAGATCAGACGTTTCTACTATTACAGCTATAGGAGTCATGCAATCAGAAAAAACTCAATATCTCAATCAGTATAAATCGAAATGAGCTGAAATTTTGCTCATACATAGTGGTACTCATCTGGTAGATGATGTGGACGTTTGAGTCGAAATGATCTTGAAAAGACGAGTTTATCGCAAACGTTAATTTGAT